TTGTATTTGTTCCTCTTTTTTTATTGAAGTATAGAAGATGTTTTAAGACTTTATGGACCATCAAGTTATAGTGATCATGTTTCGTCTGTATTAGATAAACTTTTTCTGAAATAAATTATTATGAAAAAAAAAATCCTTTATGATGGGGATATAGTGTGTGTTTGGTATTGAACGAACATGTTTAAATTCATTCAATTTGATGAAAGTATTTGCTCATTGTTTAATTGTCGTGAACTATTAAAAAAGGTTGGAAGTACTCCTCATTGGAAGTGGGAGAATGAATTATGTAAGGTGAACAGGGAAGCCATTTTTTTTTTTTCCTAAAACAACATAAGACGCGGAAGCCATTTTTCTTTACAAATATCACAACTCTTACTTAATATTTCATGCTTCAAACTGAAACTTTGTCAACCCTTAATATTCAAGAATATCACCAAAACTCTAATTCTTTTATTATATGCTCTATTCACCTTATACAATTGCAGTATGTTTGTTTTTTATATTTCTAACACTGAATGTTTCAAGAAAAAAACTTGTTTTGTAGAATTCTTCCTCCATACCAAACACCACTTATATAATTGAAATTATATATACTACTCTGAAAGGAAGTCTTAGGAGCCTTGAAATTGGTGTGCTTCAATTTATTGTAAATGTTAAGTCTTTATCTTTGACATATGCGTGCTCCATTCTGCATAAACTGACCCTTTAAGTTGGTGAAACCTGATCTCTAATTTTCACGGTCTTTAACAGGGTGACAGTGAGACTGAGGAGGAGGAAGAGAGTGATTATGAGCAGCAGGATGATGAACCAGCTGAGACCACCAAAACAGATGGTGGATCGAGGTATCTTGCAGCTGATGATAGTGATAGTGACGAGTCAGATGGGCAGAAGCGTGTTGTCCGGTCAGCCAAGGACAAGCGCTTTGATGAATTGTCTGCTACAGTTGATCAGATGAAGAATGCCATGAAAATCAATGACTGGGTCAGTCTTCAAGAGACCTTCGACAAGATCAATAAACAGCTGGAGAAGGTCATGCGCATTACAGAGGCAGCTAGAGCTCCTAATCTGTACATCAAATCTCTAGTGATGCTGGAGGACTTTTTGACTCAGGCTTTGGCCAATAAGGAGGCAAAGAAGAAGATGAGTAGTAGCAATGCCAAAGCCTTGAATTCAATGAAACAAAAGCTCAAAAAAAATAATAAACAGTATGAAGAGTTGATCAACAAATATAGGGAGAATCCTCCTGTTAGTGAGGATGAAGGTGGGGATGATGAAGAGTCGGAAGATGATGAGGAGGAGGAAGAGGACTTTGAGGAGGACCCTACAAAGATTGCATCTGCATCCGATGATGACCCTATTAGAGGTCCCGATCCGGTAAATGAGTGGGAGATTATACTGAACAAGAAAGACAAACTAATGGATAAACAGTTCAAGGACCCAAGTCAAATCACCTGGGATATAGTCAACAAGAAGTTTAAGGAAATTGTTGCTTCTAGGGGTAGGAAGGGAACTGGAAGGATTGAATTGGTTGAACAACTCACCTTCTTGACCAAGGTGGCCAAGACCCCAGCTCAGAAGCTTGAAATTCTTTTCAGTGTTGTCTCTGCCCAGTTTGATGTTAATCCAAGTCTCAGTGGGCACATGCCGGTAAATGTATGGAAAAAGTGCGTGCAGAATGTGCTCACCATACTTGACATGTTGACCCAATACCCTAATATTGTAGTTGATGACATGGTTGAGCCTGATGAGAATGAAACCCAGAAGGGATCAGACTACACAGGGACAATAAGGATCTGGGGGAACTTGGTAGCCTTTGTAGAAAAGATAGATGTTGAATTTTTTAAGAGCTTGCAGGTTATTGATCCACACACTCGTGAATATGTTGAGAGGCTGAGGGATGAGCCATTGTTCTTGGTTCTTGCTCAAAATATCCAAGATTATTTAGTTCGCGTGGGGGACACTAGAGCTGCCGCGAAAGTGGCTCTTAAACAGGTTGAGTTCATTTATTATAAACCGCAAGAGGTGTATGATGCTATGAGGAAATTAGCTGAACTAGCAGAAGGAGAAGGAGAGGGGGAGTCTGCTGACGAGAACAAGGTGGCTGAGGAGAGTAAAGGCCCACTAGCATTTGTTCCGACTCCTGAGCTTGTGCCCAGGAAACCTTCCTTTGAAGAGGGCAGCAGGTCATTGATGGACGTCCTTGTTTCGCTCATTTACAAACATGGGGATGAGCGGACCAAGGCACGTGCTATGCTCTGTGACATATACAATCATGCTCTCTTCGATGAGTTTTCAGTATCCCGTGACTTGTTGTTAATGAGTCACTTGCAGGATAATATCCAGCACATGGACATTTCAACTCAGATTCTTTTTAACAGAGCCATGGCTCAGCTTGGTCTCTGTGCATTCAGAGTGGGACTCATTACAGAAACACAGGGTTGCCTTTCTGAACTGTATTCTGCTGGCAGGGTGAAGGAATTACTTGCACAAGGTGTTTCCCAAAGCAGATATCATGAGAAGACCCCGGAACAGGTTAATTTTTTTTACTGTTTGGCAGTATTTATGTCATGTATGTGCTCCTTTAAGCGAGATATTTCCTTTATTTTGTGTCTCGTATGTTGATTTATTGTTGCACGGAAATTCATGCTTTTTCGAGCTTCAGATTTGCAATTTCTTGCTTCTTTACTGTCACGTTCTCAAAATGTGGTGTCAAGTACAATAATGTGTAGTGTACTACAATGGAAAAAATAAAAATAAGAGTTTGGGGATCATGGCTATTAAATACCGTCATTTATGTGCATTTCTTTGTATAATTTTAAGTACTTATGAAAAGTTAAGGAAAGCATAAATTTTATGATGCAAGATGATTGCGAATAGGTGAAGGGCTAAACTATATTCTTGCTAACTCAACTTCAGATTAAATAAGCCAAATATCATCTGTTTTACTGACTTATTTATCTTGGGATTTTTTTCTGCTGTTCTTCATTGTGAGTCTTCTCATAGCATTAAATCTACACATTAATCCTTGGCAGGAAAGGATAGAACGAAGACGTCAGATGCCTTATCATATGCATATAAATCTTGAGCTTCTTGAGGCTGTCCATCTGATATGTGCCATGCTACTAGAGGTGCCAAACATGGCAGCCAATAGTCATGACACAAGGCGCAAGGTCATAAGCAAGAACTTCCGGAGATTGCTTGAAATTAGTGAGAGACAAACTTTCACTGGCCCACCTGAAAATGTTAGGGACCATGTAATGGCTGCCACAAGAGCCCTCAAGCAGGGAGATTTTCTGAAGGCCTTTGATGTTATCAAGTCCCTTGATATGTGGAGGCTTTTTAAGAACAAAGAGAGTGTTCTTGAGATGGTTAGAGCCAAAATCAAGGAAGAGGCCTTGAGGACCTACCTTTTTACATATTCTTCTTCTTACAATTCTCTGAGCTTGGATCAGCTTGCAGGGATGTTTGACCTTTCTGATAAACAAGTTCATAGCATTGTGAGCAAAATGATCATCAGTGAGGAGCTTCATGCAAACTGGGATCAACCAACTCGCTGTGTGGTCTTCCATGATGTTGAGCATACAAGATTGCAGGGTTTGGCATTCCAGTTGACAGAAAAGCTGGCAATTCTATCAGAAACTAATGAAAGAGCTATGGAGTCCAGGATAGGTGGGGGTTTGGAGGGCCTTCCACCAAGGCGCAGGGAAGGCCAGGATTATGCCGCTGCAGCTGCAGGAGGGACTGGTAAGTGGCAGGAGTTCTCCTTCTCACAAGGCAGGCAAGGAAGCAGTGGGGGCCGAACAGGGTACAATGCTGGTAGATTTGCCTCAGGGCAAGCATCAAGGGATAGAACTGGTCAGGCCCGAACTCATGGTGGTCAAGGTTCACGATATCAGACAAATGCAGCTGCTAGGGGAGGCCATAATATGGACGGATCTCGCATGGTGAATCTTAACAGGGGTATCCGTGCTTAGTTAAAGTGGAGGACACATATTTTTGCACTGAGAGAACACAGCGTTTGGAAACACATCCCAAATAATCATTTTTCAGACCCTTATTTTTGTAGTAGTGTAGAATTTTGCAAGTTGGTATTCAAACAATCGTACAATCATTTTCTATAGTGAAAGTCTGATCCCATTAAACTAGGACTTTGTACTGGTGTTATGCACGGAAGTTTTTTTCTTACATTCATTTTAAGTTTGTGTTATTTGCTCCAATCGACACTTAAAACTATTACTATTATTTATCTTTCATACACGAAACTTTCACCAAAACCTTTTTTGATTTGTTGCTACTTTTACTAATTCTTTAGTATATATTTGCAAAAAAGTTACTTTCTACTCATTGAATGCTGGAAAGCATTTCTCAGATAAATCCTTTTTTAATGAAATATATTTTCCATTATGAAAAAAGTGACCTTTTCCGTCATACATAACATAATTGGTCTACTTCCTGACGCACATGATAGTTATTGATTAGAAAATTTGACCTTTTCAACTTTGTGTAAATAATGCATCAAAGCTAAGTTGTTTTCAGAGGTGATGGTGATGGAGAAATAGACTAATGGTAGGGATAATTGCGTGACATAAAATTGCACGCTTTATTCTTTAAATCGTTTCTTTTAACAATCGAATTTATGCTTAGAAATGATCCATTGCGTAATTCATAAGGACTTGAAGGCCTCCTGTCAATTTGTTTATGATTTCCCACACGCAAATGAAATATTTCAACTTCAATAATTTGCACATAAGATAAAGTAGTGACGTTTACCTAACCTTCATTATTGCAGATTATACTTTTCTGCCTAAACATGAATTTAAGTTAGATACATTGATGAGATGAAATATTTGTATCATCAGCATCATTTATTCAACATAATTGTAAATTACCTCTTAATTAACATAATTGTATAAATTTCTATGGATATTTGGCTGTAGAATAAAAGTATAAACAAAATTCAATAAACATAGTGCTAAAAATAGATAGACTATACACATAGTAAAAGAAGGAGCCAACTTGTATTTCATATTGATAAAGTTTTGTGTTACAAGCCCAAATGAACTTCCTTCATACAAACATAACTAATGAGACTTAGGAAACCAAACATAAAAAACCATGAAATAAACATCAGACAAACCTTTGTCAAAAAGATTTGCAGATGGTCAGTTCAATTGGCTTTGTAGTTTTATTAAAACACATAGTAGTAGTTAATAGAACAAGAGACATTTTGGTGTCTCAACAGTTGCAAGGATCACATGTGCAGTTTGATCCACATTTGCAGCCATTTCCTCCTTCTGTTGCTTTCTCAGCAACCACTCCATAGCTGCAATTAATTCATGTAAATTATATATGTACTTTAATAGGGTAAACAAAATTCATATTAATTAGTATAATTTAACGTGTTATATGTTTCAGTATTATAGTTATCTTTTAGGTGACTTGATATTATAAGTATTTCCTTTGTTTTAATTTATGTGTTATAATTCAGATTTCGAGAGTGAAACTTCTTAATTTTGTTAGTGAATTCTAAACGTACATATTTAGAAACTACGTAATTATTTCGATCATAACAAAATATAGAAAAGTCTAAGTTAAAATCAGACTAACTTCTTCATAGGTGCAACACCCTCAATGATGGTAAAGGTAGTAGCGCTCTCCAAGTCGGGGTACATCCCACATCTGCAATTAATTCATCAAAATCAAGAATTTAGCTAATTAAATTTAGTGAAAGGAATAAATAAACTGTCAACTAGATCATCTCGATTCTACGAAATTTTTTTTATGAAAGTCTTTCATTTGATTTTCTTCGATGGAAGTACATATGTTACATAAATATTTTAGGAAGAACTTACCCTCCACAGCCACTGCCGCACTTGCAGCCAGATCCACAGCCACAGCTTCCTCCACAGCAAGACATGTTTTTTTTTCCTTAGGAAAATTGGATTGAAAACTAAAAAAAGGTTTTAATTTCTTGTGTAGTTGTGAATTGTGATGAATAATGAATTGCTAAGACTGGGATTTTATAGAGACTTATTGGTGATTGTGTGTGATCATATACCTGACACGTGGACGAATAATATGTTTGTTTGATTTTTTTAATTTTTAATTTATTTTCTTGGAGTAAATTTATGATTTATTCATGATAAAATATTGACTCAATCAACTTTTAATTGTTAAATCAACCGGTGTTCAGAATTCACCGGTTAACAATTCGGATTCTTGTTGTAAAAGTCGTCCAATATATGGGAGGTACTTTTTAAACTATAGTCGGAGTTGGTAGGTTGATTATGAGTTCGATAAAATTTAATAGCTATAATATCTGTCATTTATGTTAAAAATATTTACTTAATATGTATAAATAATTTATTAGGAATCCAATATTTAAAATAAAATAAAATAATAATCTAAAATTCATAAATTCAAAAGCTTAACTCCACATTTGTTTTTAGCTATCCCTATAAAGATTATTAATCCTTTCCTAGTGTTAGCTTGAGTCAAAGACTCGAAGACCTCTATCATTTCACCACATCCCTTTGATTATTTATATTATAGTCAAGTTGCTTAAAAGTAAATTAAAAGAGGATGATCGGTGTAGAATTAAAATCACCTGATAAGAAATTGTGTCGAAAGACCTTTAATTAATTTGTGCCAACCCAGAGGAGAAAAATAGTGCAAACTTGAATAGAGAAGCATGAACTTTTAGGTTTAAATTCATGTATTTGAATTTTAGCTTGTTTGAGATAGTGACGTAGTTATCATAACTAGCTAACACTGAAATACATACAACTGTTTATACTTAATTTTGTTTAATAGCGCTTGTAAACGGGTGAGCAACTTGTTAGAACTCGTCTATTAAACAAAAAAATATAAAATATTATTCCCGTTAATTAAAAAAAACTTTAGATTGTTGTTGAATAGTACCCTGAAAAAGAGAATAAGGCATGAAGCTAATTGCTTGAGAGCAATGAAAAATTGATTTTTTTTTTCTTGAAGTTTCAAGATAATGAGAATTGATCAGAACAAATAATAAAACCCTCCTAATTAATCCACAAATTTAGGTGGAATTTTCTTTGCTTACATTGATCTCAATGTCGGTTTACGTCCGTCTATCTCAAAATTTGTAGATTTTTGCTCTCCTAAATATTATTTCTGGTGATTTTCTTTTACACATCTCAAATTATCTATCGTGATTCTCTTTTATACGCTCAAAACCTAGTTAGAAGGAGTTTTTAACTATTTACCCTCATTGATATTTGAATGATTATGACATCGGGGATAATCAAGGTAACTGAAGTGTTTGTATAATCTTTAGCACCAATTAGTACAAACTCCAAGGATAAAATGGAATAATTTTGTCTTGAACTTCCACTATAACAAATAATTTAAAATAATTATTATTATTAGAAATTACGACATATAATTTAAAACTGAGAAAGTAACTTAAATTAACTATATACTTATTATAAGGATATTGTCGGGAAGGAATTTCTTTTTTGATTGAAACTTGCATTTATTTATGATCAACAGATATTGCGAGGTGTATATGGTCGGGTTAGTTCGGATTTTTCAAATATTAAACCAAATTATTTGTGTCGGATTTTAAAATTTATAAACCAAACCAAACCAATAAAACTCGGATTTTTCAACCTCGGGTTTTTCAGATTTTCTATTTTTTTCGGGTTTTTCAGATAAAGTATTCATACAAACATATAATTTACTTGTATTTTAAATATTTCTTTAGTCCTACCAAATACAACTATTTAAGGTGTTTTTTAATAAAATAACACAAAATATGATATGATTAATGACACTAAAATATCCAACAACAAAAATAATAATAAAATCGCGTAAAACAAATATTGAAAATTAACAAGTCATAATGAAAATGATCATAATTTAAAAGTACTAAACCATGCTAAAATAAGTTTAATAAGTATTAGTTAAATGACTAAATATTAAAGGAAATTAAAATTAGATTATGTATTTTAATTGTCTAAACCAATGTAAAACTAAAGAACAAATATTCAATATTATTGTCATTCTAATTAGTGTTGAATTGATTTTCATTTTGCATTAGTATTAATTTGATTTTTGATTTAAGCTTTATTATAATTACCAACATCTGTTGACTATAATTTTTATTGGATCATTCAGAATTCTAAGTTTCAAACTTGAAATTGTATATTAAAAGAGATAAAAATTATGAAAAAGTATAAGAAATATTTAAAAATTATATCAAAGTAAATATTTTTATGTATAAATTTTTTTATATATTATGTCGGGTTGTTTTTTTTTTAGTTAAAACCCAACCCAAATATAGTTGATTTTTTTTTTCCAATACCAAACCAAGTCAAACCAAACTATTAGGCGATTTTTTTTCCGATCTAACTCGATTTGCGATTTGGTTCGATTTTGTACACCCTATTGCTAACAGTATCCATATCCATGTGCTATGTTTTTCCGTGTAGAATTTGTAATTTTAAAATAAGACAAATTATATGTTTTATCAAGTAAAAAGTGATATGATAATATAAAATTTTAATTAATCATATATGTAATTTATTTTTATTAATAAAAGTAATGTCCGAATCATTTTGTTAATTTCAATTAATTTTTCAGAGTACCTATTACATATATTCCACCAGCGTAGCGCATGAGATAACAAGAAAAGTTGATCACCTATTTTTTGCCTATGTGTAGAAATACAAATTACCTTAGTTTTTTCAAGTTCACTCCAATTCTTTAGCCATTAATTAAGTGTTCTTGTTCTTAATCGAGACTCAAATTAAGCTTTATCGCAGAGCTCGTGAGGTTAATTAGGAGATAAAAGTATCCTGATCATCACATTAATATATCTCGTTGAGCATGAATAAGCATTGAAAATACTTTTTTTTTTTTTCAAAGCAATTCTTTTTCGTCCCTCCGACCATAGTATAGTGCTTCACTTGTGGGTCTTCAGAAGAGTCCACTCATATCTTCCTTCTTCATTGATTTGAGAGAAGGGGAACTATTGACTAATTAGAACCATAAATAGTAAGTGTAAGTAAGTGATTTGATGAGGATAATTAAATTGACGTGTTGGAATTGACTACCACAATAGAATGGTGGGTTGTTGGCATTTTGGATGATGCTAAAGATTTAGATATCACAAAAGTCAAGTAAAGAAGTACTAGTAGATTTTAAAAAATAATATATATATCTAGTATTATTCTTAATCATTGTTAATATTATTTTCTCTTCCTATTGTCTATGAAATGAAAAACAATAAAGTGCTTTTTTTTTTGTACTTTTATTTCTATCCATTCAATGTAGTAGTCATTGATCATGTCTACTTTATAAAGCACAGGCTCCATTTTTGCCTACGTCTACTTTTAGCTATTTAAAATTCTGAGAACAAGATGCTTCACATATCTTTTATCAAAAAAGAAAAGAAAAAGAGCATATATATCACTATTTTCAAACACTATCAACAGTGCTAGTATTATTCCAATTGCAGTTTCACAATTTGTTCCAGGGAAGGTAATTGTAAAAATGAAGCCTATCGACATGTCTATCATTAAATATGATCAAATTTGATATTGAGTTGATGCAATATTAACTTATAATTTTATCTATGTGATATGTTTATTTCATGAAGTATTTCGTACATATTATCGATATGTATTTTGATATTGTTTTTGAGCACTAAAAACGAAACATAACATTTTTCTTTTACTTGTGAGACGTAGCTTGACATGCTAGACAAAAAGGTTTATTATACCAATGTCAAAAAACAGTATGATAATATCTTTTCTGTAAAGATTTGTTAAAATATTGTGGTGAATAGGGAAAAGAATGTGCATATTTTATTAATTGAAGTTTATAATATCTAGTGGTAGGACTAGATACCACAAAAAATAATGCTCATCACTAATAAAGAACTATTCCTTATATTTTGTTCGTCATGTTTAATAATTGTCCACCATTGATGAACCTCCTTAGACCTAGTAGATAGTCCCTCTCGAAAAACCTTATTTTGTGTCTCACACATTTGACAATAGTTGTGACAGGCTTAAGGCTTTTCATTGTCTCACAAATGGACCCAAATAGGATCCACAAATTTTGGTACATTTTTTTGTGCGAGACATAAAAGAAGCGTCACACAATTAATTTCAGGTGTGTATGTCATCGAATAAAAAATTTCGTCCCTCTCGGACATCATATACAAATTCAATTAGATCTAACAAAACAAATAGTTTATGAAGTGGATATTGTCCATGATTATATAAAAGTATAAATTATAGGAACCACATATTATAAGTACTAAATAACATTTTATCCCTTCTAGTTTTCTATTTACCAAAAATCCCTTAAAAATGATGTTTGCGGGATACATAGCTTTGTGCACGGGATACATTAGGTTTGATACATTCCACATAGCGGGATACATAGCATTGTGCACGGGATACATGTGGGATACATAGCGTTGTGCACGGGATACATAGCGTTTGATACATTCCACATAGCGGGATACATAGCGTTGTGAATGGGATACATGCGGGATACATAGGTAAATAAGGGATTTTTGAAAATTTTAAAATAAGTAGGGATAAATGGATATTAAGGTAAGTAAAGGAGTGTAGTTAAGTAATTTGTCTTATATAAAAAGCTAACAACTTATCTCAAAATCTCGCGACAATATTCGAGTTCTAAAATCAACTCATTTAGCTAGTTCAATGGTGTATGCTAAGCCCATATGCTTCATGGGCTCTACTAATAGCCCTAAAAGCTTAGTAAAGCCATGTTAGGCTTCAGGCCTGTTGAGGAAGCCTTTAATAAAGCCCAAGAATGGTTCTTTATGAATGTCACAAAGTGAAGGTAAACACAATCCTTCTTAGCACATTTTAAGGTATCAACATACTACTCAACTGAACATTTGTAAATATATACATTGAGCAAAACCAAAATTCATACATATAAATTAATCAAGAGAAAAAAAAACAATCAACTCTGCATACTCAAAAACATCTAAGTTCTTCCAAAAGATCATTAAAAATCATGTCCTCTAGTTCAAGTGCTAAACATTCACTTTCTAACTGAAGATTCATCCAACCATCATCCATTTTCAAATCTTGATCCACAATGGTGTCGATTGATTCTTGCTCCGGTTTCAACCTCAACAACGTACCGACATTGTTGCATACCTCTTCATTCATTCGATTTTCTAGCAATTGAGCAACGCGACAACTATAGGATAAGGCCTTAGGGTAGTATGTGAATGATTTGTCATACATTTGGACTAAAACCTCATTGACCAAATCAAATAGTAGATGATGATGACAGCAGAAGTCAAATTCCCCTAGACAACATTCTTCTTCTTCTTCATGCCACAAGGACTCGAGTTCTCTAACTAATGAAGGGTTTAACACTTGGACTTCTGAGTACCATGCTGTCTTGAAGAAATTTCTAGAGAAACCTGAATGATCAAGAACATCCCTCACATAAAACAAGTCCGCGTTTTCCTTTCTGTAAGATTTGTCATGATGATCTGCTTTTGCTTGAATATCGACATCAACATTCTGTTTAGGATCAAAACCTGAGCCAAAAGAAACAAATTAAACGACAATTCACGCGTAGAATAACATAATGAAGGAAGTTACTAGAAATATTTGATGATTAATGAGAAAAAATAGACATACCTTCTGAAATTTGGAACTCTGCATAGCTGGAAATGTCTTCTTTAAAACAAATTTCTGAATTTGGAACCACATCAATTGGGATTGGTTCGTTGCATTTTATCTCTTGTTCATCATAAGAGTTTCCTTTGAGCATCTTTACCTCATCGATGATCTCTGAAAGATCTTCGACTACTCCATTATCTGCTTCATATATCTTAATATCCTCACTTCCTTCTACTTGTTCAATTTTGTATCCAGTCTCTTCAGTGGCGTATATCGATTTCTCTTCTTTCTCAATTTCACCTCTCATATGTGAGTTCCTCTCCTCTACGGTCTTAACAAGCCATTCTGAAAAATGGATATCACCAGCCACCCCGTTAGGAAGAAGAGAACAAGACTCAGAGGAAGATAGAGAACGGATCCTTCTGAATGACATTGATGGTGGTATCTCGTATTCACTAGTCAATTTCAAACTCTTGGAGGGATACAAGTTCATTTCCTTCTTAAAACTATGTTCAAATAATTTAGTATATCGATTCATGAACTCGTTTAGAGAGGAACTTCTCTTGTGCATGATTGTATTTTTACTAATGTCAAATCCATCAATCTCACAATATCCATTTGACTTGTTCTGATGGTCTGTGCCTGCCTTATTTACATCTTCTACACCGACGAGCTCTTCATTCTTTTCTCTATTATCAACTGCTCCCTTGGTACTAAGGCTCGACAACTTGTCTAGCTTCAAGTTTCTACCATCATCATCCAGGAGGCCTAAACTTGTGAAGAGAGTCTTTGCATAATTAGACAAAGATCTCGTTCGAGTAACACCTATCAATCTTTCTCCTTTAGCAGAAGACCAAACTTCTTTCTTCTTGTCCTCAAGCTTAATTGGTTTGAAGTTTGTTTTCCGCGACAAATGAGACACAGGGTATGATCCTGACTTTGTTAATCTAGCCTTTTTATTTGAAACCAGCTGACCCCGGGATAAATTCTGATATCCTGCTTCTGATTCCCTCAAAATTTCCAAAAGCAACTCAGCATGATCTTTAAGCTGAGATTTTAGAGCATTCTTATCAATGGAAGTATCATATGCATCGATGGCATTCATCCGTTTCTTATCTGGTGATTCTTCACCCTCCACATTCGCGGGAACCAAAATACTAGGATGTTTCTTTTCACTGTGTTCAACTGAACAAGTTCTCTGGAGCTTAGGTTGATCAGAAGAGCCTGATTTCTTCTTCTTGGACTTCTTTTTTTCCTTATGCATCTCCTCAGCAATCAAATCTTTTATTTTAGCTTTTAGAGACCTTTTGTTAGACCCCTTTGATTTTCTAGTTCCCTTATCAACCTAAAAGTATATGATAACATTAGTCTTCATCAAAATTGAAACGTTTGGACACTGATAAACTTACAAAAAGTTTTTTCATAAAGCATTCAATAATACTTACCAAAAACTGACTTTCATTATCATCTAAAAGCATTTCTAGTTCACTAGGATCTTCGCCAACCAATTTGTCTTTGGAAGAATAAATACCTATTGAAGAGCGAATACAAGAATTTTAGATATCAAAATGAACAAACACACATATTTCAAATAGGGAGTTAAATAATTTTTATACCATAGTTAAGTTACTAGCAATAACATGCAACTGTAACCTATTATAACACGTCAACGTATAAAATCTTGACTTACTTCTGATATGACTGCTTCCATCATTTATACGCGGGAGAGATTTCCTCTTTACGCGAGAGTGCCAACTATTGTAGCCAAGGGCATGTATGAATCCCATCATACAACCTGGATGAATATCCTCATCTTCATGATCTACATGCCTACTCCACTTGTTCTTTCCCATAGTATAAATTTTTTGAATCTGTCTTCTCTAGCCTGATAAGAACAAACCAACCAATATTCAACACATAATTAACAACTAACAAGCAGGGAATTCATGGAGCTAACTCTTCTCTTGTTTCCTTTACAATATCAAACAGGGGCGGAGCTAAAGGGTAGCCGGAAATTTATACTGTATATATAAGGTTAATATTTTTTTAATATATTAACAGATGTTGAACCAATCCTCGTTCACCACTTATCTCAAACAAGGCTCACATAGATAAAATCGTGACAAGGAATCAAGAACTAAATACTATGTAATCAAATATACTACTTTTTCTTTTTTTCTCGCAATAAAATTTGCTAATACGAATTAAAAAGTTAAAAACAGAGATCAAAGTGAATAAACCCCGTGATCTTAAAGGAAAAGAAGAATAAGTAATAAACTGACAATTACTTGATAAGTGTTAACAGAGACAACAATCAATGAAAAACAGAGAAAATTGGTTCACCTTTTGAGCTGAGAAGCAGAGGTTAAGCTGATAAAAGGGCCAAGGTGATATTTGGAGAGATTTGTTAAATAAAAGAGAAATTTATTGGCATAAAAGTAAGTAACAGAAATAAGTATTATGAAATGAAACTGCCTAGCCCTATAACGTAAGAGGAGGAGCAGAAGAAGAGGGGAAAAGGTCTAAAGTTTTATCAACCACTTTCAAATACGACCAAAACAACCACACTACAAAACCTCTATTTCAGGCGCCTTTTTACCCGTCAAACTACTTTAGGACTTTACTAAATATAAAATATAAAGAGTACAATTTTTAAAAAAAAGAAGATTCAACATATACCGTATTTACATAATATAATTTCAGAGTAAAGAGTTTAAATGTTACTCCTTATATGGCAGAGCCAATTTGGGGTTGGGATGATGTAGATGTTGAATCTCATTCGATTCGTCGATTCGTTCATGTGTTTACTTTTTCATATATAAAAATCTTGACTCTGCTACATCACTTCATAGGTCCACCCATGTTGATAGCAATTATCGTTTATGAATTTTTAGAGAATAATTCACTTAAAAGATACATACAACTAAGCCAAAACTCCCAAAGAAAAGGTCAATGTAGGGTGAGTGAAAGGGATAGAGTGTATAATTAGATAACCAACCACGTAATTAAAATAAGCAAGGAGAAACAGAAATGAAAATAGGGGTCAGATTAAACAACTGCTAAGCTTTTGTTGGTTTGTTTAGTATGCACTTTCCTTCTGATTTAATGCTAAGTTGCTCAATATTATGGGAACATTATTTAGTTGGTTAGTTGTTGGATGTTCTTCCACTATTATAAACTAATCTCTCCATTCTCCCAATATTATTATTTTTATAGTTAATATTACATAAAAATCTTATAAATTACAACTTTTTTATTAAAAAATATCTAGAGTGTTTGGAAAATCATAGTCGTGGAAACATATTGATTTTTCAAATAGAATTTAGTGGGACGCAATTCAAAGAATATTATATAACAAAAATACAGCGTTTTATTCCGTGCATTTGAAAAGTTTGTACGTATGTAAGCTGCCTCATAGTACTTCCTAACTCTTGATAAGGAGTATTAAAAAGTGTTGATTCCATTAATAGTTAATTCATTTTCATTTTATCACACTAAAATTACTAAATTTATTTTTGTAATTAAAATATTAAATCAAATTTATTTAAGTATCTTGAAGGTCACTAAATTATCTTTCGTAATTACAAAGTCACTCAATTGTGTAAATGTCATATAAAGTAATTAGAAGAAAACTAAAAGAGAGATATTTAAGCAAAGTTGAAAGACTTTTTGGTTTGAAAAATGAAAAGAGTATTTAATCATTTTTACGGTTGTGATTCTTAAGTAAAATTAAATAATTATTTTTGTTACAAAAAGTAGAATAGTGACTTTTTCTGTGTAATTACCAGAATAAAGTTGAATAAATAATATACAAAAATAATTTAGTATTTTTGATAAATAAAAATAAAAATTTAAATTGAGTGACCATCTCAAAATCAAAATATGACAAAACGAAAAACCTAATCTTTTAGAAGTTCTAAGGCAAATCACCTTAGGAGATTGCAAATGACAAACTGAATGGTTTGGTTCCACTCAGTATCCCAAATTTATGTACCCTTTTAACACACAAATATATTTTAGCTAGTAAACTTCAAAACAATTCATATATGAGAAGTTTTTATACTTGACAACTTGCGCCAAATTTCATTTTGACTTGACACAATATTCTTCGTTTGAGGCAGAATTTCACTAGGTGACATATCTTGTACGAATTGTTCGGGCTATCAATGAGTACGTATAACTAGCAATTAACATACACCTTCTTGGAAAAGAAAAAAGGTATAAATAATTAATTATTTGCATGTATGCACTATGCTCCATTGTCATTGTATGATTTGTACGATAAAAGTCAATCAAATTTATGGAAAGATCAACAATAAGACGAATCTTTAAGACTCTGAGAAGAATGATATATGTAGCTACCAAGGACCACATTACACTTACGTTTCTATTTCTTTCTTTGTTTTTGCTTCCTCTTTTTTCACAACAAACAGGACCATCCTCTAGAGAGGACCCCCATCCCCTTAAAATTAAACAAATCGCAGAGTTTGCAGAAGGGTCGGACCATACTAAGTTTATACCATTCGTGAATCATAAATTTCGACAAGAAATTTCAAAAAACAATACTAATAAATGCCATATCTGAAATTTGAACACGTATTTCTCTTATATCAAGAAAATTCAAAAGGTAAAGAAAGTTTTAATTTTACCATGCTTATATCGATAGATTTTCAACGCAGATGATTCATTTAATTCCTTTTCTTGCACGTAACTTTACTAACTAGCGACAATTATATTATTATTGCATCAAAACTCTCCGTTAAAGCGTAGTTCTAATTAATTAGGTGTATTCCACAACCAATTCTACATAGCAAGGCTTCACCATTTACTATTCAGTAGCAAAGGCCTTGTAAATCTCTTTCTTTTTATTTCAAAGGTGTTGAAAAAGCATCCAAATTAGACTATTGTGAACTACTTTCAAGTCCTAAAAGTGGGCGGTGTGGACATTTGACTAGTGTGATTATCTTTAATCACAATTTGCACTTAAAATAATGGCTCCATGATGCTAAACATATATATATCTTGCTTTTACGTCATTATAGACTATGACATGTATATTATTATCGGCTTATAGCTTTAATTAGTTTAGGCTACAAATTGGACTAAATCAAAGCTTCATCTAGGTAGAGAATGTTTGTTAAACTGTTAAAGTAGTTATTCTTTGAAATGAAAATAGCTAGTAGTTGTTGACAACAGAAATTAAAAAGTAAGCTACCAAATAATTGATTGACATTAATTTCGTGTAACAAATTCTGCCAAAAAGAGTTGGAAAATAGTACTTAGAACACTTGACTTGTACTTAATGAAACCTAAAACTGGTCCAAGTTTTTAGTCTACAAGATGCCGCGTTGAAGTCAAACTTTGGGTATTTCTAGAAAACACACACACAATGAAGAAAAGGAGAAGGAAGGGGGAAAAAATCTAAGACGCCACACAAGAATAATTTGACATATTTTTTTTTATAGAATTCTACTAATATATATAAAAAAAAATTAAAATTTAATTACATATAGGGTATGATCATTATTCATTGGCATGGGAGAACATATTTTCCGGGTTTTTTTCGTATTTAATTAATCAAAGTTTTTTTTATACCATGTTAAACAAAGTATCTTAGATCTAACTCAACTCAAAAGTTAGCCCAAGAAGTAAGGATTAGACAAGTGAAGACGGAATTACAATTTGTAGAACATGGTGCCCAACAAAAAATTGAAATGAAAATTGATCCACGATTCTATCTAGATAAATAGCTCAATATTCAACCAAGTGCACCATTCAAACATTATGGAACATGATTGCCATAAACATATAATATTATATTAATTCTAAAAAATATTTGCATAACATATTTAATTTTGCAAAAAAAATTATAATTTACACAATCAGTCCGCCCCTACCCCAGGGTCGACTCAACAACATTAGGGGCCTAAAGCGAAACTTAAGAGAGGAGCCCTAATATTTTGTTTTTCATCATATGTATTTTCATTTAAAATCTACTTTTCTAGCTATTTTAGATGTGAAGTCATTAAGTACTATTTTATAATCAATTTGTTTTAATAATTTCTTTTCAAATGATAATATAGCTAATTCATTCAATATCTCTTGAGACATTGTTGATCTTAAAGAAGATTTAATCAATTTTAATTTCGAAAAAACTTCCTCCGGCTGAGGCAACGGTTACAAGAATTGTTAACATTATTCTATAAGCAATATGTGTAGTTGGAAAAGAATCAAGTCTTTTTATTTGATTGAGTATTTTCATTAGATCACTATCTTCTACTTGTATTATTTCTCTTTAACACTTTTAATTCAAAAAATAAATCTAAATCATCAATATCAAAATAACTATTACGTGTTAAAGAAAGTTCAAGGTTAACACAATATTTTTTAAAATTCTCATTATCTAGTGATCTCAATATTTTATCACTAAATAAGAAATCAAACATATTTTCATATGCTTCAAATCTATTTTGAAGTGAAAAATAGTTTGATCTACTCTACATATATAAATTAATCAATTCTAAAAGATTCTTCAAGGGACTTTGTGATTTTGTAATCTATATTTTCATTAAGTTGTTTCTTATGAAATTCAGGTTTATAAATATCTCATATGCAATATTCTTAATAGATATCATAGCACTCATAGTACATATAATTTTATTTTAAAAAATAACATATATAAGTAATTGTTTTTTTTTTAAATGGGGTCCCCAAAAAATATGAGGCCCCAAGCGATGACTTTAGTAGCCTAGGGGTTAAAGACGGTCCTGCCCTACCCAAGCCACATAAATAGACCAATCATCCCCTTTTACCATGAAATGGTAATTACTTGCAAGAAACAGAAAACAAGTGACATGTCACAGCAGGTAAAACTATATTGATTATGTTAACTTTTTTTATGTAGTTTGACTATACGGAGTATTTAATATTCCATCTTTAATTATTATATCTACGTAAGGAAGAAAATGAAAGAAAGATTCATAGAGTGGTCCTGGTGTTGATCAGTTCTATCATAACCTTATCGTATTATATATATACCAATTTTTCATATATATGGTTGTTGTCTCTCTATGAAATATGGAATTTTTAAATATTCCCGGGGTTATTGTTGTTAATTGTTTGTTTGGTTTCTCATTCGGTGTTCAAAGTCCATATTGAAATCCCAACAAATTTGAATTGCACACTGCAGGATTCATCATTTCTCTCTATCTGTTGTTAATTGTTATTACCAATCCATATTATTAAAAAAAATGTTTATCTAGCTCTCATAGCTTTCCCATGGAGTTTTAGTACTTAGGTTGATGTTTTAAACGAATTAAAAAGCATGGTTCACCATAACATGGATTAACAACTACCACTAGTAATGGATGGATTATAGATACATAAATAAAAAAGATAAAGAAACGGACATACACTTACGTTTATGACATGGGTGAAATGACTAATGAGTATATGACGGTGTATATTTTTTTATATATATATTTCACTAGTAAATGTAATTATTTTTAATCGAT